ATGGTCTCTATGGTGGGTAAGTCAGAGATGGACTCCATGGTGAGTGAGTCACAGAGAGATGGACTCCATGGTGAGTGAGTCACAGAGAGATGGACCCCATGGTGGGTAAAACACAGAGAGATGGACTCCATGGTGCGTGAGTCACAGAGAGATGGTCTCCATAGTGGCGAAATCAGAGAGATGAACTCCATGGTGGGAAAATCACTGAGATGGACTCCATGGTGGGTGAGTCACAGAGAGATGGACTCCATGGTAGGAAAATCAGAGAGATGGACTCCATTGTGAGTGAGTTACAGAGAGATGGACTCCATAGTGGGGAATCAGATGAACTTCATGGTGAGTGAGTCACAGAGAGATGGATTCCATGGTGGGTGACTCTTACCCATGGTGGGTAACTCACAGAGATGGACTCCATGGTGGATAAGTCACAGATAGATAAACTCCATGGTGGGTGAGTCACAGAGAGATGGACTCCATGGTGGGTGAGTCTTACCCATGGTAGGTAACTCACAGAGAAGATGAACTCTATGGTAGGTAAGTCACAGAGAGATGAACTCTATGGTGGGTGAGTCACAAAGACATGAACCCCATGGTGGGTAAATTCAGAGAGATGGACTCCATGGTGGGTAAGTCACAGAGAGATGGTCTCCATGGTGAGTGAGTCACACAGAGATGGACCTCATGGTAAGTTAACCACAGAGAGATGGACCTCATGGTAAGTTAACCACAGAGAGATGAACTCCTTCGTGGGTGAGTCACAGAGAGATGGACCCCATGGTGGGTAAACCACAGAGAGATGGACTCCTTGGTGGATGAGTTACAGAGATGGAGTCCATGGTGGATGAGTCTTACCCATGGGGTGAGTCACAGAGATGGACCCCATGGTGGGTAAACCACAGAGAGATGGACTCTATGGTGGGTGAGTCACAGAGAGATGGACTCCATGGTGGGTGAGTCTTACCCATGGTGGGGGAGTAACAGAGAGATGGACTCTGTTTTGGGTGAGTCTTACCCATGGTGGGAGAGTCACAGAGAGATGGACTCCTTGGTGGGTGAGTCTTACCCATAGTGGAGGAGTCACAGAGAGATGGACCCCATGGTGGGGGAGTCAGAGGATCTAGGTAGAGAGAAGTAAACATGTTTGAATGGTGTGTGACACCCAGAAATGGCCTTTGGCCAATATACAGACTAAAGAGAATTATCTCCAAGAGGCAAGGTTGGTCTGAGACATAAATGGAGTAAGGTGAAAGTGATTGATAAAGTCAGCACAAAAACCCACACTCAATTCCTGTTCTTTTTTTTTTTTTACTTAAAAAATTAAAGGTTAATTTGAGGATACAAAGAATTAGGTTACAATGTTTGCGTTTGTTAGGTATAGTCCATGTTGTAGTTGAGTCCCACCCACAAGAGATGTGCCACATAACCTCACATTGTTTTCATTAAGTGGGAGCACACCAATCCCCCTCCCTCTTCCCCTCTCCTCAGCTCCCACCTTCCCCCTTCATCACCACTACTAGTGCTAGAAGTTGTCGCCAATGCAATCAGTCAAGAAAAGGATATAAAAAGGCATCCATATGGGGGCAGAGGGGGTCAAATTCTTGCTCTTTATCGATGATATAATCTTATACTCAGAAAACCCATGAGACTCAACCATAAGACTCCTGGAAGTGATAAAAAAAAATACAGTAATGTCTCAGGGTATAAAATCAATGTCCACATACCTGTAGACTTTGTACATGCCAGTAACAGCCAAGTTGAGAAGCAAATCAAGGACACAACTCTCCTCATAGTCACTTCTTATTCTTTCTTTGCTTGTCACCCCCTTCTCACCTGGGATGTCTGTCTCTTTAGTTGTGCCTCCTGTCCTGACCAGGCCCACAAATCAGATCTTGATGCTGTTTGATTAAACTGCAAACCTTCACATCGAGGTCTGTTGTGTCCAAAGATCTCAGGTTGAAGTTGTGGATTCAGGGATGTGTCAGAGCCCAGATCCATGATGACCTCATACTGCAGAGAGACAAAATGATATAAATGTACATTCCTGGGATTCACACAGTAAATAAATCAATCTGGAATATGGATTCAGCTCTCTGATATTAATGACAGGAAGGCATGAATGAAATGCATGTATTCGGGACAGTGCGTGTGGCTCAAAAGGATAGGGCACCAGCCCCATATGCCAGAGGTGGTAGGTTCAACCTAGCCCTGGCCCAAAACTACAAAATAAAAAAATAAAAAAATAAAAATAAATGCACATATTTGAAGGATACAAAAGTACAGAGATGTCATGATATGTGTGTCACTATGCCAAAAAACAAAAACCTTGGAAATTAAGCTAACAAAATTGAAGCCAATAAAAAGCTTTTAGTTTATGCAGTCATAAAAGTGTGGTTTGATGGTTCCTTTGACAGAATATGGTGACGTCTCCTCAGTTGGGTACTCCACAAAGTCAAGTGGCACCAGCAATGGCGGTGAAAATTTTTGTCACTAGGTTAAGTGGTATCTTCCAGTTATTTACATTGTAAACTCATGTGCTTTGTCACAATTCAAAGTTAATATGTGTTTTACAGAAGGTAGTTTTATATTAATCCAGTATCTTGGCCCCTCATCAAATATTATCATGCCAGTTTTAGTATCCATTGATCATTTTCTCTGGAATCAATTTTCATTGTGGTATTTGCTAAGAGTTGAATTTTCTTTTTTAGGACTTGAGAAGGTGAATTACTTTCTTAGACCTGTATGCTTTGTGTGTAGTATAAAATTTCTAGCAAACTCTAGGAACTTTAATTTAATGTTGTTTAAGATGACCAATGCATAGAATCAGACACATTTGTGAAAATGTTTGGTGAATAATGAATTTATTAATTATTCGTGCTGGGCACAGGGGCTCACACCTGTAATCCTCGCACTTTTAGAGGCTGAGGTGAGTGAATTGCCTGAGCTCAGGAGTTCAAGACCAGCCTGAGTTAGAGTGAGATTCCAACTCTAAAAATAGCTGGGCATTGTGGCGGGCGCCTGTAGTCTCAGTTAGTTGCGAGGCTGAAGCAAGAGAATTGCTTGAGCTGAAGAGTTTGAGGTTTCTGTAAGCTATGACATCAGGTGGCAAAGTGAGACTCTGTCTCAAAAAAACAATTATTCATGATACTAATCATGGATTTTGGACCTGTAGGAATTTGGTTGCTTTCTTCTTTTTCTTTTTTTTCTTTTGTGAGGCAGAGTCTCACTCTGTCACCCTGGCTAGAGTGCTATGGAATCATAGCTCACAGCAACCTGAAACTCCTGGGCTGAAGTAATCTTCTCACTCAGCCTCCAAAGTATCTGGGACTACTAGTTCTCCAAAGTAGTAACCATGCTCCGCTAATTTTTCTATTTTTACTAGTGATAGGGTCTCACTGTTGCTCAGGCTGCTCTCCAACTTCTGAGCTCAGGCAATCCACCTGCTTTGGCCTCACAGAAAGCTATGATTACATGTATGAGCCACCATACCTGGTCTGGTTGCTTTCTTATAAAGAATGACATGGAATGTATTTTATTTTGAGTGCATTTTTCCTATTTTAACTTGCCTGTTGAGTCTAATTTTTCCCCCTTTTAAAATTTCTCATCCTCTATTTTAAATGCCAAATAAGAAAGGAACAGGAAATGATTAGAAAAATAATTACTTACCTAAATCACTAGCAAGAATACATCTGATGGATTGTGTTAACTCAATGATGAGAGTTTCTTAATCCCATCTCTGTTCCCTGAAATTCTATGATAATGTACTGTTTCTGTGAGAAAAGTTGTTGTATTATGTAAACTGTGACTACTGTTCCATGAGACATCAAAGTCAGAGAAGAAACCACATCCTTCCTTTCCTATCTAAAGGGAAAAACTAGGTTTTGTCAGTTTTATTTTGTAAAAAGGAAATGATAAAGCAGAATTTGCCTTTTGAATGGTAGTAGTACCAATCCAATCCAATCCAATCCATCCGAATTGTCATAATAATTTTTCTGAAGGCATGTCATCTTTTTTGTTTCTTAAATGTTAGGCTCTAAATTCACTTCTTTTTCCAGGGTTTGGCAATTTAAACCATTTGCATGCATTTCTTTCCTTCTGTAGCTTTTGAAATAGTGAGGGTCACGCCATCCTTGTCTTTCTGATGTGTCTCATACATTATTTTGACTTATGCCTTTGATTATTATTTCAGGCAAGATCCTTGGTGCTATTGATGATTTGGGTCTGAGGAACCACACTCTTGTCTACTTTACGTCAGACCATGGCGGCCATCTGGAGGCTAGGCGAGGTCACGCCCAACTTGGAGGATGGAATGGAGTTTACAAAGGTAAGGTGAAGTGATCTTTCACTCCGTTGGGTGGTGAGTAATCTTATGGTCATCATAATTAATTAGTATACAAAACTACACAAGTTTGGGCCGGGTGTGGTGGCTCATACCTGTAATCCTAGCACTCTGGGAGGCCCAGGTGGGTGGATTGCTTGAGCTCACAAGTTCAAGACCAGCCTGAACAAAAAACAAGCCCCCCAGCTAGGGCACCTGTAGCTCAGCAGCTAGGGGGCCAGCCACATACACCAGAGCTGGGAGGGTTCAAATCCATTCCGGGCCTGCCAAACAACAATGACAACAATAACAAGAACAGCAACAAAAAATAACCAGGTGTTGTGATGAACACCTGTAGTCCCAGCTACTTGGGAGGCTGAGGCAAGAGAATCATTTAAGCCCAAGAGTTTGAGGTTGCTGTGAGCTGTGATGCTACAGCACTCTACCAAGGGTGACATAGTGAGACTCTGTCTCAATTTTTTAAAAAAGGGA